GTCCGTCAAAACTTTGCCGGTGGGCAACAACCTCGTGGTGATGCACAGATTAATGGAGATGGGTCAGTTTAGGGCATAAGAGCAAGCTAGAAATACGCTTAAGCTAATGGCCAAACAGTATTGCAAATAATATAGGTCCTGTGTGACTATTTCGGGTCTGAGTGGCTGGGAACAAACAGCCTCCGACAACACTCATGCATATACAGCCCCGCCCTCCAGAAACATGATTACAAATAATAAAAATAAATACTCTTAAAAAACAAATCAGACCAGCCACTATGGAATCCCCTCCCTGATATCATACCCCAGCCTCAGGAATACTGTGCCCAGGGTGGAGCAGGGCACAGGCTGAATGCACCAAGAAAGACCCAGAGTCTGGCTTAAATTGGCACCTAAGGATCTGCGCTGCAAAGCCCGATGCTTGAGGCTAACCAGGGCAGAGCACAACTAAAGTGTTGGAGGGCTAACTGTGAAAGCCAGTGTTTCCCTCCAAAGGCTTCTTACCACGCTATAGCTATAGATACCGGAAATCCCAACATGCCCCAGTGAGCTGCCTTGCCAACAAAGAATGTAATCTTTGTTCTTGACATAAACGACTTGTGTAGAAGCTGACTTAAAAATATACTTAAGCTGAGTGTCACGGTGCATGCTAGTTAATTCTAGCACACCCGGGGCTAAGGCAGGAGGACGGAGAGGACCAGGCATGCCTGGGTTACAACAGGGAGACTCTGACTCAGACAGAGACAGGCTGACAGTGACTGAGGGACAAGCATAGTTATCATTGATGTGTTCTTAAAAATCAAATATTAGTATTTTACAGCTCCATATACTTAAACAGCTAAAAGGAAGAGTAACAAAGTAATACAGACCTGGCTATATACGTTTGTAGACTCAACTACTCAGGAGGCTAAGGCAAGCAGATTCCAACTAGACTCAACTACTCAGGAGGCTAAGGCAAGCAGATTCCAACTCCAAGGCCTGCTTGGGCTGCTAAGGAACTCCAACACCAGCCTGGACAACCTAGCAAAATGCAATAATGAAGATGACAATGGTCTGGGAGTACAAATCAGCAGCAGAACATCTGCTTAGGTCTCCCAAGGCCCTCCGTTCAGTCACCAGTCCTGCAAGTAAGTAACATCGAAAAAGAAAAGTGAAGGAAGCATAAAGTTGCCTGGCTTTGGAGAGTAATCTATTCCTAAGGACTTAGCACTCGCTCTAAGGAGCTCGTTCTGGAATACTGATGTTGAGTATTAAAGTACTTACTCTAAGGAATAAAGTCTATCAATCCCCTTTTCTGGACAACACAGATGCGCACAGTGGTCACTTAGGTTCACCCAAATACTTGAGGCTGAACTAGCTCATGTTGTATTCAAGAACTCAGGACTCCCAGACGTTTTCAGTCCCTACTGAAAAACAATCAAGAGGGAACCAAAGCAGAGGCACGGTGGGACTGTTACCTTTCCCAAGCACAGTTCAAATGCAGACGACAGTCCACCCTGGTAGCAAACCTCCCCTGAGTGGCAGCCTCCTCTGCAGCATACAGCCACAGATGGGATGGCTGAAAGTCACCAAAAGCCTGGAGATGGCTACCGGGCAGCTTTCTTCACCATCTGCCAGAGTGACGACATCCCAGGGCAGTACAGCACAGCAGTACACCCAGTGAGGACATCCAAACGACATTCAGGCAACCTAAGGAATGCTTCCTTACTTCCGCAGAAAATAGTGGGGATTCCGGCTCCTTCCAATAAAACCCACATTTTGGGTTGGGACAAGTGAAATGTCAAAGCTGAACTGGGGAAAACTTATTAAATCCCTAGAAAAGTTATGTCAGCCCACTTTCAGGGCCCCTCAACATCAAGGGCGATTACTACTGAAAACACTTACAGAGGTGGCCCCTTGCCCACAGCAGACACGTTCCAAAACCCCAGTTGATCATGAAACCCTGTAATACCCTGCCTACACAGGCCTATGATAGTTTAATTTATAAATTAGGTACTGTAGGACACGAACAATAACTAACAATAAATGATTATAATACTATACCAAAACATAAGTTATATGAATGTGTTCTCGTTCTCTCTCTCATACGCCATTTCATAACTGGGCCTCATCTGACTACTGATAACTACAAGAGAATGAAACTGTAAGGAGAACTGTTGTCGACCTGTCAAAACCTTCTGATTCAGGCAGAAATAAGAACCCATAACCTTCGTTTGCCAGAATTCTTCCCCTGGGGAGACATAAACATCTAGCCCCTCTTTGTAGGGCACTAATGACAAACCAAGGTATAATTCTACCAAAGTCCAACTTGGGGAACCATTGGGCTTACTTACAGAACACAAGAAGAGTAGGGGACCCCAAAGTAATCTTGGCACCAGAAAGTCTCACTCCTGCTTGGATGAGGAACTGTCTTTCAGTTACCCTCTCACCCTTTATGTGTGTGCAGTTCAGGCAGAATTAACACTCTTAGCCATGCTGAGCATGGTGGTGCATGCCTTTAATCCCAGCTCTTAGGAGGCAGGTTCAAACACATCAGTTCAAGGCCAGCCTGGTCTACAGAGTGAAGTTCCGGGAGTTCCAGGGCAGCCAGGGCTACATCGAGAAACAAACACCTAGCCAGAGAGTGTCGGAGAGCACAGCTGGGATCATAGAAGAGAAACCAATAATCCTCCCTAACGCCTCCAACATCAATGGTCAATCTATCTGCTGGCATGGCAAGTAGCCACTGCGGTTTTGCTGACCAGGCTAGCGTTCTATAACACTTGGTGGTGGGGAGAGCTAAGGGATGGTGCAAGGTGGAGACTCAGTGAAGAGCTGCAGGAGTAATACTGAAGGAAGCCGTAGGCAGATTTGAACCCCAAGGGCAAGGCTCGAGAGGGAGGCAGTGTTGCGAGGGTGCTGTAGAGGGGGGCGGGGCAAGCACAAGGGAGCAAAGCCACATGGGACTGGCTCTCCGTGGAATACAGGAGCACAGTGATGAGTGGATTGTCCACCGTGGAGAGGTCACAGAAGGGGAGTGGAGCAAGGGACTCCACTTTGGGAGCTCTGAAAACAGCTCTCTCGGGCTCTCCTGCAGCCAGGGCAAGCTTCCAAACACAAGAGTCCAGATGCCCCGGGGAGACTCATCCCCACTTCAGTATCCACATCTACTTGAATCTGCCTGTGGTGTCTAGTGAAGTAAGTATCCCTGATGACACCCAGGAACAACTTTGCTGAGATCTGCCCCCCTAGAACAATAGCCAAAGGCTTTCCACAACCTCCGATAAATAACCAAAACCCTTACTCCAGGGCCCAGGGACATCCCTGAAACAACAGTCCAACTCCATGCCTTCGACAACATATAGTACCCTGTCAGAAACGTACCTGCTGGGAACAACTTTTTTTTTCCCCTTCGGTTTTTCGAGACAGGGTTTCTCTGTGTAGCTTTGGAGTCTGGAGTCTGTCCTGGAACTCACTTTGTAAACAAGGCTGGTCTCGAACTCACAGAGATCTGCCTGCTTCTGCCTCTCAAGTGCTGGGGTTAAAGGCGTGCGCCACCGCCACCCGATTTAGAAATGACCTTTTTATAATTAGCGACTAGTTTATGCTAAACATGCGTTTATTCATTAATTAGTACTTTATACTGCTCAAATAATTTCCCTCCTTTTGGTGCAGGAGAGGGAACCCAAGGCTTTGGACATGCTATATGATTGACACACCCAACCCTTCATCAATTTTACAGTATTTCACTTAGACAACAATCAGTCACTTACTAGCTGGCACCTGGCCAACAACCCTATCAGAAGTTTGGGAGTTAAGTCAAGACTTGGTGATCTGGGGCTGAAGAACTCTCACCTATCTGTGTGACCTGCAGCCATGTGGATAAGCAAAAATTCTAAAAATAAAGCCAAATTAAAAAAGTTTTGGGAGAGAGAGAGAGACAGAGAGAGACAGAGAGAGACAGAGACAGAGGGAGAGAGAGAGTCACATTTACAAATGTCTTTGTACAGGCTTTCAACCTGCATTAAATTAATAACATACTAAAGACGACAGGGGACACTTGAGTCACGGTTACGGAGACACATAGGACTTATGTCCAAAGGAGTCTAGATGTCACAACAGACTAATTACATCAGGCAGTGTTTCTGCGGGCCGGGGAGGTGAAGAAAAAGAGGCGTGCTGAAGGGAGTGAAGCGATGGATTACATTTCAAACGTGCCAAGTGAATGAATCCGAGAGAAAGTGATAAAATTCACACACAACATACTTGTTTATCCCAGAGGCTCCTTTTAAAGTCTAATTGTCATGGCAGTCGCCCGTCTAAAGGTGAGTGCTTCTCACCTGACCTCCTTCAATCAAAAGTGAAAGTGGAAAGTTTGTCCACTTGGGTCCAAACCCGCATAGCCACGGTTTCGGACCCAAACCAAGAGGACAAACAGCTCCACTACCACGGGGCTGGAAAATACGGTGATCACGAATTGCCACGCGCCAGTGCGGAACCTATCCCCTTCTTGTCCCGCGGGGAAGCTGTGTCACACCTCCTCCTCCACGCCAGTAGGTCGGATGGGTGTCCTCACACACAGCCCCAGGACCCCTTGCCCTCCTTCCCACGCCACACACTTCCTGCCTCTACCATCACCTCCACTTGCAACTTTTCTGTTTGTGACGGCGGTCGGGACTGCAGTCCCAGGGAGGGAAGGAGCCGGACTTTGGGGCTTCGGAGTGGAATCTGGAAAAGGGCAGGCGCAAAGCGCACCATCCCACGTGCGACCCTCGCTGAACACCTACGGCTGAGGGGACCCGGCGAGCGCTCCTACAGGGCGCAGCGCTGGAGTTCGGGGTTCGGATAGGGGATGAGAGTCCCCAAACCTAGCAGCACTTTTAGCAACCAGGGAGGGCTGGACTCCCGGGGCTGCAGCACAAGGGGGGCCGGGCGGCCGAGGGTGCGCCAGCTCGGCGGGGCCAAAGCCCGAGGCGGACTCGGTGGCGCTCGGGTCAGGGTGGGGCGGGGCAAATACTCACCAACCCCGTACTTCTGCCTCTTGGTCGGGATCCAGCGGGCCATGGCGACGACCTCGCCCCGCGGCGTTAGCGGCTGTAGCTACTCGCGCTCGGAGCGCTGCTGCTCCTGTCGGACTCTTCCGCCATGTTCCGGCAAAACTTGGGCGACTTTGGCGCGCGCGGCCGCGTCTCCGCCGCGCCGTCCCGCCTCGCTCGTGCCCGGGGTCCCGCACGCCCGCGCCTCCCGCTCGCCCGCCAGCCCGCCCGCCCGCGGTCACCTGCTGGGGCCAGCGGCCGCACAGCCCCGCGCGCCCTCCCCGGCGCCGCCCCGGCTCCTCCCGCTGGCCGCGCCCTCTGCGCCCCGGCCGCCCGCCCGCCCGCCTCCCCCTGCCGACTCCGCCTCGTCCAGCCGAGCCTCGGCCGAGAGCTGGCCGCCGGGTCCTCCGGGTCCTCCCGGGGTCGCCTCTGCTGTCCCCAGCGCTCCCAGGCTGCTCCGCCGCGCGCAGAGGAGGAGGCGGGGGAGGAGAAGCTGGTGAGAGTCCCCGGTCGCCTCCGGACGCTCAGTAAATATTTGTTGAATGAATGAGCGGTGAGCTACTGCCTTCGCCTCAGGGAGCGTCTGCTGAAGCCCCGGGAGCCGGAAGCCGGGCTTCAAATCCCGCAGGGAACTAGTGCAAGGGACACGGGCACTCAAAAGTATCCGACCTAGGGGACCTTCCGTTAGGAAACTGTTGGCAAAGCTCTAATCTGGAAATCCCGAACTCAGGGACTTATCCCCCCCACCCCCCCGTGGCTGTTTCACACTGAGGGAAGGTGTTCGCTACAAGGGGTCTCCTTTCCAACTGCCCCTCTGCCCAGAAGGACCCTGTGGGGAAGACCCTGGAACATTCATCCCGAGTCTTTTTCCACACTAAAAACTGAGAACTCCAAAAGTCTGCAGTGCCTTGAACTGCACAGGGATGCGCGTGGCGCCCTCTGCGGGGAGATGCGCTTCCCCCAGAAGAGACCTCCAGAGTGAGGTAGACTCTTCTTAGAAGTAAAATTTCAGACTAAGTGGCCAGTTAGCTTTGCCATCTGAAAAAAAGAAAAAAAAATACCTCTTGCGAGAAATTGTGTTGTTCTTGGGGTCTGTGGAGGCTTTCTTGCCAGTTTGGAGCCTGACAGGAATAGAACACGAAATTAAATCACACAGTAAAAGGCAGTAATTCTTGGTCAGAAATGAGTGACCTCTGGTGACTCTTTGCAAACCATGCCTGAATAGCTTTTTAATCCCGGTTCTCCTCTTTAGAAAATAAGTCCCGAACTTCGATTCCCGGATGCGAGAAGCATAATTGGTACCTACTAATGACCATACTTCGGCCATCTTTCTTAAAGTGTTTCAGTTACATCTGGTTTTAAATGTTAATTTTTATTTTGTATTTGGGGAAAACTCAAAGTTAAATACGATTACAAAATGTATCGTTTATTACCTTTGTAATTTAAAAATAAATTTTTGTTGTGTACTTAATATTGAATGCTTAAAAAATAATCACCAAAGAATCTAAACAGCAAAAAAACAATAAACCAAGTTACAAACTGTACTGTACTAAACAGAGTTCTGAAAAGAAAAAAAATAAAAATGGGTAAGAAATACTCTTAAAAAGAAAAGAAAGTTCCAGTTGGAATCAACTTAATACACAGCAAAACCTATTTTCTATCAGCGAAGACCTGACATCCACAAAGATCCCCACCATCTCCCCAAAATAACTTCTCAGATCCCCACCATCTCCCCAAAATAACTTCTCCTTGGTCAATGACATCATGATCAACTTAACCACCCAGGCTAGGTAATTTCTTCTTCCTTTCTCTCTAAAAAGTGAGCTACTGTGTTGGGCACTGTTCCTGAATTGGAGGTTCAGTAGTGAGGTAAGTGTGACCCCCTACCTTCATGCATGCCACAGGAGGCTAGGCCTGCAGAGAGAAACCCTAGCAAGGAGCCTGAGGAGTGTGGGTGCCATGGATTAATAAAGAGGTATCTGGAAAGGCCTCTGAGGTGAGAGGAGACTGAAGGGCCGAACTGCAGGAAGTGAGGATGATAAAGGGGAAGTGTTCCAGATGGCCTGTGTGGCAAAGCAAAGGCCACGGAGCAGGTCCGACAGGCTCCAAACTGGCAAAGAATCTTGGGCACCGAATGATCTGAGTAAAGCAGAGGAAACCTGGCCCAAGGGGCAGAGGTGCTGCCACGCAGGAGGCCACAACTAGGATGAGAACTTCCTGTTTGTTACTGGAGGTTCTGAGCTTCGGTCATTGGGGAGAACGGGCACTGTCTACCTGTGTCTGCAAGGGCTGGGGATATCCGTCAATGAAGACAGCAGGGGATGGTAGGTGCCCCAGGAAAGCGCTTGAGTTCTGAACACAAACTGAAGGGAGGGGCAAGAGGAGGACCGAGGGAGCAGAGAGGTGCTCTCCATGAGGCTTATTGGCCCCTCTGCTTTACTAGCGTGTTTCTGGAAAAAGCTGGCAAGAAGACAAGCTTATGTTTCATTGTTTGGGGTTTTTGTTATTGTGAACTCTTTACCCGTGCTGTCCACACATAGGCTCTGCAAACCCTGGCTTTGGGGTGTGCGAGACAAAATCATTGAAGAATGAAAGACTCCCAGACTCGGGGCTTGAACGACTGGTGAATACAGCTGCCACTTCTGTTTGTTGGTCTGTACCCTCTGTTGTGGATCAAAGTTTACTCCCCACCTCTGAATACTCCCTAGGATTTATTTCCTTGTCCACTGCTCAGCCACCGCTCGCCCTGGACCTTAGAAGCTGTCAACCTTGGCCATAGGTCTGGGCTGCTGGGGCAGTGGGGGCTTCCCAGAGTTGCCTCAGTCACCTGTGTGCAGGGAAATAGATGGTCTTTGTTCTCTAACCGAGTATATATTTTTACATTTAATGTACACTAAATGTCGATCCTTCCAGCAAAAGCCATTTCAGTGGGCTCCCTCTATGTAGTTGTAGGCTATTTTCAAAGCTCTGGATTTGAATTTGGACTCTGGAGATTTCAAGCCTGGCAATGATTGCTTTTAAGAGAGTTGGAGGAGCCAGGCGGTGGCG